TGCTGGTTAAGGTGGCCTCCATGGTTTGTTCCCTTTACTTAGCTGTGTCTCCAGTGCAGTGTGTGGGCAGCACAAAGTTTACAGCTTTTTGGGCTCCAGTTCTCTTTGCTGTTGCTGTCGATGAGGAGAGGTGCACAGCATGGGCTGTTCTCTGTGTTGCTGTAAATCAGGGCATGGTTTTATCCAGAGGATTGCTCTCTTGTATTAAATCATAGAACCTCTTCCTGCCAGTGTTTCTCCTAGCCCAAGGCAACTGTCTCTGCAGTCATTGATCTTTGTATCTGAACATTTATATGCGGTGTGTTCGCATGGATCAGGGAGGAATGGGTTGCTCTTTAGGAACATGATTCTACACACTAATCCAAATCCAGGAGTAAGTGAGAGGCTGTGCCTCTCCAGGCATTGCATCCTTGGTCTTCCCAGAGGCTTGGGGTGTCCCATGTGAGCCCCAGGCTGCCTCCTGCACCTGCTGGGATGGGAGGGATGCTCATAGGGACAGGGATAGCCTTTGGTGTGGTTTGCTGAGCCATAAAAATCTTGTGTTTTAACTGAGTGCTGCAGATGAGTCGGGTTGATGTGGACCAGGCTTCCAGCAGGTCTCTATATATAGGTTGTACATGCTGTTTACTGTATAAAACCCAATTCTGCAGTTATTTCCAAGGTGCTATTTGGCAGCACATACCAGCGCCACTTGAGTCACAGCTCAAAGCCACCCAGCAGGGCAAAGTGTCCCGACAAAAGGCAGTGCTGTCCCTATGGAGGTGCAGACCTGGTTCTGGAAGTAGTGTAAGAGTTTCTTATCTTGGGATTCTTCCTGAATCTTTGTATCTTAATTGACTTGATCTTGAGCAGCAGAGGAGCAAAGAGGCCCTCTGCAAATTCCAGTTCCTCTTCAACCAAAGCAAACTCCGTTTAATGGAGCAGTGTCAGGAAAAGCTGAATGCGGAGCTCTTTTGCTGGTGGTGCTGTTATCCCCAGTGAGGCTCCCTGTGATCTCTGCATCACCAGGGTCTCTGCAAAGCCAGGACCTGAGGGTCTAAGCATGCAACGAGGTTTTGGGGGGCTCGGTAGCATTCAGGTGGCTTCATGACTGGGGGGATTCATTTATCTCCCATGTGTGAGCACCAGGTTCAGCAAAAATCCTTTTCCATGAGCTAGCTGCGATGAGAAGGCAGAGGCTGCACACACACATGGGACCTGACCTGACCTCACCTGGGGTGGCTGCTATGTCCTGCACACCGGCAGCACTGGGAGCACAGCGCCTCGGCTCTTGGTATGTGGTATCATCTGTCCCACACTAGAGATAACCCAAAGGGGTTCCTCCAGTCACCATCCGCATCCTTACCACACTAAGTGCACTTCAGTGCCTGTCAATACAGCACACGACCTGCTCAGGCTGCTCCTTTGATAGGAACACAGAGCAGGAATCTTTGCACTTCTATGCCAGGCTAAAATTAGCGGCTCCTTTCTCCCGAGCATCCCCGGCTGGCCCGCGTCACCCCATCACCTGCTGCAGCCGGTTGTTCAGCAAGCAGCTTGTGTAACGCGGCTTAAGGAAGGCTTATGGCTCTTTCCAACAGGAATATTCATTGCAGTCAGAGGATTAGGGTTTTTTCTCAACAGCTTTGAGCTTTCTCCTGTAAGACCCCAGTGCTGACCCACCATGGGCCCTTTGCAAAGCTGGACCTTGTGGGAAGGAGAGGTTCAGTCCTTCTTGGACCAGTTCACGTTGCACCGTGACTCCTGTATATCTTAAGGGGTTGGGAGCTCCCTAGATGACATTCCTGAAGCCTGAGTAGGAGCACGCCTCGTTTCAGTGTTATTACTGCTGTTCTGCATTAAATACAGACGTTGCTGAATCCCCAGGCCCTGTCCTAGATTACACTTGAGCTCGTTTTAAGATCTAGGGAGTGAGAGCTGTCTTTTCACGGGGTTATTTTCAGATCCTGAGCTGAAATTTGGAGGTGTCCTCAGGGCATTGGGGTACATCTTCATTTTGGGGAAGGTAAGGCAGAGGAAGCAAAATGAGCCCCTTTCTTGAGGTTTTCCTCTCCGAGCAATGGAATTACTGCTTCTCCCGCTGGTGGCTCTGGGAGTGCCTCCAACGGTTGTGGCTGCAGAGGACAGCAGTTAAACAACGTGTCTGGGTCTGGAGAAACTCCAGGTTCCTTTTCCTGCCCTGCCACAGATTTCCTTCCCGACCTTGGGCAAGGCAGGTGGGGTCCTGTTCACAGGGGCAATTGTGCACATATCTCTTGCCTTGGCACTTACAGGCCTTGGAGCATCATCTGGTTACATGATGGACACGATGGCTTTGCCCCAGGCACATCACAGAGCACGAAGCCCTCGATGCTCTGACATTAACTCACAGATCAGGACAGGAGGCAGACTGTGGGGGCCAGCGGGCTTCCCAGCTGGTGCTGGTGCAGGAGCAGGGCTGGAAGGGGGTGATGTGCTGCAGCAGGTTGCTGTTGGCTTGTTTGTTTCTTTGCAGCATCTTTCTGTGTCGACATTGGTGCCGGGGGTGGTATTTGGGGGGAACGACACAACGACGCACACGTGAGCTGTGCAGATCCTGCAGCCAGCACCCAACTTTGCAGGGATCTCTCAGCTGGCACCACAGGCTGCTTTTCCTTTCCAGCTTGCCCTCTACTTGCATGCCATTACGCATGGCACTGTTGACGTGTGCATGGCAAGTGTCATGCCTGCTGCCGCAGGGCTGCCAAGGGAAGGCAGAAGAGCTGACAGCCAGCGCCTGTTCGCTTTCTGTGCAGGGAGCTTGCAGTACATGAGGCAGCTCCTCTCCCCATCCCTGTGGTGGGGAATAGAGAGCGCTCAGAGCCCATCTCGCAGACCACCATGGGATGTTCTCCATTGCTGAGCTGCCTGTCACGGTGTGAGTGCAGCACTAAAGTGCATGGTGTGCTGGAGGGTGTTTTAAATCAGAGGGTGCTCTGCCTGCAAAGGGTGCTTTAGGGAGCGGATGTCTGCAGAGAGGGGCTTGAGCATCTCATCCGAGCAGCCCAGGACCAGGATCTGGTCTCTGTTGTGCTCTGGTAAATTGCAGAATCAGTTTGTGTTGGAAGGGACCTTTAAGCCCATCCAGTTCCAACCCCCTGCTGTGGGCAGGGACACCTTCCACTAGAGCAGCTTGCTCCAAGCCCCTGTGTCCAACCTGGCCTTGAGGGATGGGGCAGCCACAGCTTCTCTGGGCACTCAGTGCCTCAGCACCCTCACAGGGAAGAACCACCCTCATAGTGAAGAAGTTAATTAGCAGTAATGGCTTGCGTTGATGGCTGTTACTGTTCCTGTTAATTGCTGTTGCTGTTCCTATCAGTATTTGGACCATTGTATCCATTGGACCTCATTTTTCTCATGTAAGGAGTTAATTTCTGTAGATGAATGGGAAAACTGTAGCTGGAAAGTTTCCATTTAGGGTACTTAACAATTCACTTACTTAACAACACTGTTTCCTACAGCAGCGGTGGGTGGCTTCTGGTCGCCAAACTATAACTCCTCTATCCCACAGTCAGGTCCTGGGCTGGAGAGAGGGGAAGGACAGGGGGAACTGGGGCTTCCTCCAGTCCCCAGAGGCCTCTGGAGAGACTTGAGAGATGCTTCTGCTCCTTGAGCACTTGGGGCAGGGTGCAGTGGGGAGAGGGCGCTGGCTGAGCTCATGTTTCCCAGTGTAACTAGGATGGAACATTGTGCTTGGGTTCATCCGCTGGGCAGAGAGTCTCATATTCACAGAGGGCACGGCGGTGCCAAACCCAGTGTCTGTGTGCCACCATCCTGCCTGCAGGGTGGAAGGAGCTGTGTTGGCAGCGTGGCCGAGATGGCAGCGTGGGGAGCAGGAGCCCTTTCCTTAGCCCTGTCTCAGTGTTTATCACATGGCTTGGGCGCATCCTGCCTTTCTGGGGATGTGGGATGCTCTGTGTAGCCATGGAGCAGGGAGGGGTTGGTACCGTTGTCCCCATCGCCAGCAGGCCCACTGGCTCCGGGCAGGAGCATCGCTGTTGGAAACAACCCTGGTCCTGTGCTTGCATGTGCTTTCCACAGCACATTTCCCAGTTTCACAGGCAGGACAGGGTACTTCTCCCAAAACAGGGTGTTTCTGCCCTGATGTGGTATTCCTGTGTGAGCCCTGTGGGGAGGAGCAACCCTCTTACATCAGGGGCAGCAACATGAGGTTGGTACCAGCGGTTGTAGCCGTAGGTTGAGTTACTGACCTGGGAATCCAAACCTGTGGGAGGCTGCTGCCACCGGGCTGGTGGGAATGCAAGGCAGAGAGGGAGAAAGGAGCCAGACAAAGTGGAAGAATGGCTTCATTTCTCATGGTGTGAGGGGGAACTGGGGAACTGATGAAGAGCAGGAGTGTGCCCACAGAGAGCCCGGCGCTGAGCCGCCTGCTCGGTGCTGCTGGAGCCATGCAGGGTGCAAGCTGGTTTGTACCTGAAAGCATCAGTGGGTGTTTGGGATGGATGAGATGCTTGTGAGCAGCACTGGTATGGTTTTATTTCTGATGGGATTGGTGTTATGCCACCGATCTGCAGTGAGGAATACAATAGCAAATTCCTGCTTCCCAACCTGCTCCTTCCCTTCCTGATCACAGCCCGAGGCAGCAGGCACGATGCTGGAGCCATTCCCTCTCTTCTACTGCTTTTCTCTGGGACACTGGGTAAAGCACAAACCCCAGGTCTGAGGTCCTTAGGAGGGGAGCTGGGAGCTGGAAAATCAGCTTGTTTTGACACATCCCAACTCAAACCATCACACAGGTGCCCAGACCAGCAGTCTGTGGGAAGGCGCTTGTCTCCAAGTTACAGTCCTCAGAACATTCAAGGCACAGGAGACAACACTGAGTGTGCAAAACCCCCTTGATTTTGTTGGCTTGCTTTCATTCTTAGAGCCGGGTTTGCAGACGGTGTGGTCACATCCTCCATGGCAAGAGATGGGGTACTTCTGCAAGTTGTAGCTCTCAACCTCTCCTCCTTTCCTTCCAGGATCATGCCCCAGCTCGAGAGCTCGCCTTCACAGGTTTCACCGAGCAGCCTGCCTGGCTCTGAGATTTCAGAAGCTACGAGGACTTACCTGCAAGGAGTGAGCCGCTATGACCTGGACGAGCTCGATGCTTGCTGGTTGGAACTTGTTAATATGGAGCTCAAGGAGATGGGTGAGTGTTGCTGTTGTTTATCTCCTTGCCTGGGCATCCCAGAGTGGGCATTCAGGCTTTTCAAGTAATGGTGTGGAACAAAAGGCCTTGAAGAAGAAATCTTTGCTAAGGCATTCCAGAAGAGGTTATGTGGATGGCTGCAGCACTAGATGTTGTGTATATCTCAGTGCTTCTTATTCACCCAGGGATGTGGTGCAAGAAGAACAGGGTAAACCAGATGATGGTAGGAGCAGTGCAGTGTGGGCTGTGGAGCAGGGGTCTGATTTGCAGCAGAATTGATAGATGCAGATCACTCACGATCGTCATCACCTCCCATACTGACCGCTGAGCATCCGTACTGCAGGTGTTGGTCAGGATGGGGGTGATGAGCATGACCCCTCTTCCTTTGGTCAGATCTGAAAGCATTGCTCCAGCATTTCTCCAGCTGTAGCCAGCTGGGCAGATGGGAGTCAAAAGAAAGAGGATTTCCTACTTAAAATATCACTTCTTTCCCAGGTGTCTTGAAGCATCACAGTGTAACATGGCCTGCACCCCTGCTGTTACATCACTGCACATTCTTAAGATCCATTAGTGCCTTTCGGTTGAGTGCAAGTGCCTGGGCTTGGAATTTGACCATTGGCACTAGCGCTTAGCATGGTCTGCTGGGCAGATCCGCTGGCACAGACACATGGGTGTGTAGTCCTGCCAGGCTCTGGAGGGATTTTCCAGTCCTTGTTAGGTAAGGCTTGCTGTGGTGTGGCTGCTGCCACGCAGGTAAGAACAACAGCACAATAAACCATTCACCTTGCGAGGTCAGTGAAGGCTGAAGCGTGCCTACATGAAGCATTACTCCCCGTGGCAAAGGTCTTTCAAGGGTGGGACAAAGTATGTTATCAGTGCTTGAGCAGACAGGGAGGTTGTGCTGAGCCTCCCAGCTGGGGAGCTGGAGCAGGTTCAGTGGGATTGCAGGGAGATCCAGTTCAGTGAGCTCACAGGGAGCACAAAGCAGCTCAGAAGCTGACCACTGCATTGGCTGATGTAGGTTCCAGGAGACCTCTGTTCTTCTGGGGTACTCATGATTTACAGCCAGGTTTTGTTGCCATGAACTCTGGCACCATGAGGAAGTTGTAGGGGCTGCTCTTAAAGTTTGACTCATTAGCTATTATATATATTCTGTGTATTGGATTTCCCATAATCTCAGCCTTATGGAGCCCATAGTATCACTAGCAAATCACAGTCAGCTTTGCCTTCATTAACTGGCCCTGCATTAGCAGCCTCAGCTCTGTCATTAGCCCATCCAGGTTTTGAGATACTGGCAGCTACAGTGCAGTCCTTGGGCAGAGCAGAGGGTGCTCCTGGGCAAAGCCAAGTGGCTTGGCCCTGCTGAGCTACCTTGCAGAGGATCCACCCTTCCTAACACTGCAAAGCTGCCCTTTCTGCATCAAGAAACTAGCTTGTACCACACTGGACATCCTTCTGAATGCACTGTGCTTTCACTGCATCTCCTACTGCGTTTCTCTCACTGTTTCCACAGCGGGGAGGCCGTCAGAGGTGTCTCTGGGCTTCAGGGAAGAGTTGTCTCTATTCCCCCTCCCCTTTGTATGTATTCCGTAAGTCTCTAGAAAGGCAGCGGGCAGAGGTTTGGCCTCTCCAGCTCAGTTGGGTTAAATCTGGCTCGCTTTATTATTTCTCCAAAGTATTAGGTTACCAGTGCAGTGTCTAAATGGCTTTCAGCTGTGGAGCTCCCATGCTAGTGGATTAACAGGAAGGTTGAGATGAGAGGGGTGCCATCGGGGCAGGGATGCCAGACAGGAGATGGCTATCCCGAGTGGCACATCACCATCGGGCTGGCATGTGCCAAACCTGAGTGTGCTGGGGAAGAAGTGGTCTTGCTAGCAGCACTGCATTGGGAGCATCTGGATTTAGAAGGGGAGTTTGAGCATCACTGCAGCCATATGCTCCTGCTGTCCCTGCTCCTGGCAGGTGTGCTGTGTGGGCTGGCATCACAGTATCCCAGTGAGCGCACCCTGAGCCCAGTGTTGGGATACAGGCGATGCTTTTTGGCACTGACCCTCTGCAGTTCTGAGCAAGCTGCGTTTTTCTTTCTCAGGCTCCATGCCATTTATCAGCCAGTCACTTTTTTCAGGGATGGTCCTTAGGTGTTCATGCAGCACCAGGCTGGATGGGACCATAGTCCTTGACAAAGCCCCTGCGCCCTCCCTCCATAACCAACTATAGATGGTAACAACAAACCCAGGGGATTTCAGCAGTGGTAATGCAGAGAGCCTCACTGCCCGTCAGCTGATTCTCCAGCCTGTCTCTGTTGCTGAAAGAGCTCTCTAATTACTGACTGAGCCTTAAATATGCTGGGGAGAGAGGAGCTTTGAAAACCAGCGTTTGGCGTGTGAAATCCACTGCGGATATGGCTTCAGCCGAAAGAATTCTGGTATCCATCCCCCAGCCCCGGCGACTTCCCAAGCAGAATGAGGGCTAGTGCATTTTTTCCAGTGACTTGAAAGGGAAAACATGTGGCATTGATTAATATCCCAGCCGTGGCACTGCAGGGAGCTGGGTCTGCCAGGTAGGGACCGGGATGGGTGCTGATGCTCTTGGCTGTGGGACCATGGACACATCACCCGCGCTGCCTGGGCTTCTCTAGGGGAATGCATTTTCCTACCCATGGAAGTGATGGGGTTTGGGTGCTCATAGAGGGAAGCTGCTGCAGGAAATCTGTCACTGCTCACCTCCCGGGCTGTGCTGCAGCAGGGGCTCTGCTCCCTCTGCTTCCCATATGGGAGAATCCATGCAGCCAGGCACGGTGAGGCTGGGATTTGGGTGCCCTTCACCACCCAGGGCAGGAGATTGCCGCCTGCCTCGGTTGGTCTGAAGGCAGTCCATAAATAGTGCTTTCTCCCGGAAGCCCTTGACATTAATGACACGCTGAGATTTCCAAACCAGCTTTGCTAATCTCGGAGATCATTAACGTGACTTAAGTGGAGAACTGCAGCCTCTCCTGTTCAGAGGGGTCCGGCGTTATCTCCCGGCTCTAAGAGATGTGCTGAGGTTTAAATTCCTCCTGGTGTTCCGCTGAGCCACTGTCATGGGGCAGTCCAGGGGCACTGTTTGTCATTCCCAAAACAGTTAGTGACAAAGAAGGAGCCTGATCTCTGACTGGCTCCTGAGGAGCGGCGGGGAGGAGAGCTGGAAAACACCTATGAGATCATCCATCTCGCTTTGCCGTTAGCGCCGCATTGATCCACGTAGCACGTAGCACATAGCACATGCCTTTTCCAGTCCTTTTTAGGTCACCCCGGGGATGGAATTTTATCACCGAGATCAGATAAAGCTCGGGATAGCTCCAGCTCTCTGCGCTCTGCCGGCTCCTCTTCCAATTAGGTGGAATTGCTCCAAAAAGCAAGTGTCTTGCATGTAAAACAGCTTTAAATAGTTCTAACCCCCCCAGTGCGATGCCTCAGTGCGGGTAGGAACACACTGTTGAAAGAACTTGTGTGTGCTAGAGGTGAAATCAATATTTAAGTGTGCCTGAATGTTTCATTTGCTGCTGCTGCAATACGAGATAGTAAAACAGTGGGTCTGAAGGAGGCTGAATGAAACCCTGAACCAGATTTATGTACACGCCACCCCAGGCAGCACAGGCCTTCCCTTTTACAGTGCTGTAAGTCTTCGTTCTTATATTACCGTTTTATGCTCTGTTTTGTGATCTCCACTAAATCCAAAGGTATGGGAAGAGCGGGGCTAGAGACACTTCAGAGGCCAAGGCTGAAGGATCCTTTTGGAGTGATCCGAAACACACGGAAAATCCTCAAGGAATTGCTAAAACTGTTGCCGGAATCAATTTTGCTGAAGGCAGAGTCGAAGTTTCCAAGTATTCCCTTTGACTTACTCCATATGGTGTATGCTGCTCACATATGCCCACCACAGCTTCTATCTTGGGAGCTGGAGGTGTTCCTGGTATTTTATGGCAGGAACATGCAAAGGTCACATGTATTGCTTTTGAAGCTCCCGGGGGGAATTCATCACTGCGTACTTGAGATATGTCTGTGCGCTAATGAGATGATACCTCCCTCGGCGGAGGTGAGGTTGGTCAAGTAGATGTAGAATAAACCAAAGTCAGTGGAGTAACGCTGGGAAAGATGTGCTCAATGGAGCAGAAGCTGCTGTTAAATATACGCCTAGGAGAGCGGCTGCTTCCCTCCCTGGCAGGGCTGGGAGTCCCTTTCCAAGGCTGCCCCATCCTACTGCATCCTTTTGGGGTACAGGGAGCCCCGATGCAGCATGTTGGCACTCCCCATGCAGCCACAACCCACCCATGGGTGCCCGTCACCATGCCCACTACATGGGGCTACCCCAATAGCCATCATTGGAGGTTCTTCTATTACTTTAAGGATTTTGGGTGCTGTGCTGGTGCCAGAGGTGCAGCCCCATTCCCAGGGGATCCAGGGACTGCTGTCCTTCCTGTGGGATGCTCCCCAGCCCCAGCTGGCAGGAGGATGTGTGGGGGTCTGTCTTTTTTGTAGTGGGATCCGTTTCCTTTAACCACCATCCAGCCTTCCCCTTTTCAAGTGTCTTTTCCCCCCCACAGACCACAGCCATCAGGGACTGCTCGCAGCGATGGCTTTTCCACCCCCTTCCCCGCTGTATCCTGCACCCAGGCTCACCCTGCTTGCTGCTCCTCACTTGAGCAAGCTTAGCCCATTAATAATTCAGGGTCTGTTTGTTTGGGCTTCTTCTTGTTGTTGTTTTGAAGCAATCCTGCCAGTTTGGAGCTGTTTTATAACATGTCTGTGCTGCAGCCCACAACAAACATCCGCGCGTAGCCTGAAATCCCTATTCTTCACTGAGATCATAAGCTCATTGCACAAGTAATCATTTCAGCAGCAGACTGGTTTGGTGCGTGGATAGATGAAGCAGCAAATCCCCCACTACTTGGTGGTATATTACAAGCAAGAGATGTATTTAATAGAGGTACCGATGTAGAGCATGGAAGTATCTTGGGAACA